TTAATTTTCTGAGGAACTTCATTTTATTTGAGGTTTACATTATTGCTATTGTTTGTTTTGGATTTAAATGCATGTATAAATGCATCACCACTGTTTAGTTAGGTGCTTGAGAACCAGTACCCAACCCTACCACTTTTGACGCTAGCTTATTGCTTATTTGTATGATAGGTTAATATTCTTGCTGACATGGAGCTATGGGGAGTGGGTCTTAACATGGAGGGATGCTTACAAGCACGCAAGGTGTTAGGAAAAAAGCTAGGACAGCTTGAGAAGGAAGCTTACAAGCTAGCTGGCATGAAATTTTCGTTATCTACGGCAGCAGAAATTGCTAATGTATTGTATGGACACTTAAAGCTGCCCATACCAGAGGGGCGCAATAAGGGGAAGCAACATCCAAGTACGGACAAGCATTGCTTGGATTTATTAAGGTATTAAGCGAGATTTATTTTCTTCTATTGTACTTTGTGACTAATTTTCTTCTATCGTACTACGTAACCTCACCCATCTGATGTGTGAATTAGCTGTTGAAATATTAATACTCAAGGGAATAGGATTGCTATTTAATTATTTGATTCCATAGAGGTTTCCATCCCGTTTAGATTGTTTTGTTTGAATAGTGAACACTTGGAGATGGTTTTTGAGTATTCTTGCATGCACACTTGAATCTTTTGGTTTTGTCATTTGTGGCATCAGCCTCTCATTGTTTTAAATTTAATGGATGAGCAACCTATAATCGATTTCATTTCAGGGATGAGCATCCTATAATTCCCGTCATTAAAGAGCATCGTACATTGGCAAAACTCTTAAACTGTACATTGGGATCAATTTGTTCACTGGGTAGGCTGTCCGTGAGGACACAAAAGTACACATTACATGGTCATTGGCTCCAAACATCAACAGCAACTGGTCGGCTTTCAATGGAGGAACCAAATCTCCAGGTTTGGGTTTCCCATGAGTTGATTTTTTCTCTCCTCCCTCTCCTTCAGTCGTTAACAAGGTTTAACCGTGATTTATTTATGCAGTGTGTTGAACATATGGTTGACTTTAAAATGAATGAGGATGGAAATGGAAACAAAACTGATGTTGATCAATTCAACATCAATGCTCGTGACTACTTCATTCCTACTCAGGTAATGATCAACTTGTTCATGTCCTTGAAGGCCGTTTGTGTGTTATTGTTACATTTATACCATAAAAGTCAAAATTCTTGAGTAAATGAGGATGCGGGGGAGGGTTGATACAGTAATGTCATATATTTAGATAGAGGACAGGAGAAGGGGATGGGGTTTATGATTTCATGGTTTACATTAGTTGATTTATTGTTGCTATTCTTTCGCAGGACAACTGGTTACTGTTAACTGCAGATTATTCTCAGATTGAATTGCGTCTGATGGCACATTTCTCTAAAGACTCTGCACTCACTGAACTCCTTAGTAATCCCCATGGTGATGTCTTCACCATGATAGCAGCTAGATGGACTGGGATTTCAGAAGAGTCTGTTAGTTCCCATGTACGAGATCAGACCAAAAGGTTGGTGTATGGCATTCTTTATGGAATGGGTGCTAATAGCCTTGCAGAACAACTGGACTGCAGTCCAGAAGAAGCTTCCGAAAAAATAAAGAACTTTAGAAGTTCTTTTCCTGGAGTTGCTTCTTGGCTTAATGAAGCAGTTGCATATTGCCGCACGAAAGGGTGAGGACATCTTACTATTTTCCTGGTTGCTAGAAGTCTTTGAACTCACTTGGGAATAGGTTGCTATCATATCTGAAAACCATGTAGTATTTTGGTTAATATTTCTTACAATTGAATAGGCTTTTTTCTGTTTTTTTCTTCCTCCAATTACTCAACTCTTTCATCACGTTGCCTTTTCCTTCTAAATAGTTGTGTTGTCATATGATCAGTTTGAGGTTTCTTATTTATTAAGTCTATTTTTATTTATTTTTTGGCCTGAGAGGGAAGGTTTATGCATTTTTTTTCTTGTGTTTTGACTTGTTTTCAAAATTCACTGGTTCTTCTCCTAGTGCTGGTTATAAAGTTTTTGGAAGAAGCATCTCTTCGTAAAGAATAGGGGTCAATGTTGATATAAGTTTAGCATTCTTTTCGTCTTCTTTTTCTTTCCCAGAAAAAGAAAATGTAATACACTCTGGTATACATAAATTTTGAAGATATCCAACTGTTGATTATCTGCATTATTGTGCCCAGATACATCGAAACCCTTAAGGGAAGAAAGCGCTTTTTGTCAAAAATAAAACTAGGAAACAGTGAAGAAAAGTCGAAGGCTCAGAGACAAGCTGTGAATTCTATATGTCAGGTACGGCTTTTTCCCTCCCTTCTGTGGGGACAAGGAGTGTGGGGGTTTAACGTTAATCACTAAATTGTAGTATTTTTCTTTGATGTCTTCCTTTTACAGGGATCTGCTGCTGACATAATTAAGATTGCAATGATAAATATATTCCGTGATAGTTGAAGGTGTTGAAAGGCCTGATTCTTCTTCTCATCCTGCAACAAACTTACACATACTGAAGGGCCGCTGCCGAATTTTATTACAGGTCGGTTTTGGAAATTCTGTTTGTGTTAAGTTCTTTGGTCAATTTGAAGTGTAGAGGAAGATATTAATAAGCTAAGATATTTAGCATCTTGTTAGCTTTTCTATTTAAATATAATTTTGCTTCATTTACAAGGCAACTCATGTAACAATGCTTGTTGGTGGTTTCTAACCAGGTACATGATGAATTAGTACTAGAAGTTGATCCTGTTGTGATAAAGGAAGCTGCTTTGCTGCTTCAGACGAGCATGGAAAATGCTGTTTCGCTTCGTGGTATATTTCTAAAGTTTCTGGAACATTGCTCAATAGTGGATAATTTGAGGACATTTGTTTGCTGCACCTAATTTAATTATTCGTTGTTCAGTTCCATTGGATGTCAAAGTGAAAGTCGGAAGATCGTGGGGTTCCTTGCAACCTTTTCAGGCCGACCAATATAAAGATAAAGCTGTTGTGCCTGAACAATAGATTGACCAAGGTATGTTCTTGCTGTTGATCTGAAAAAGTAGAACATTCATGCATTGGATGGTGGTGAGTGATGGCTTTACAACGAATCTATGTACTTGCTGTCAAAAGAAATGTTATACGGCATGTTTTCTAATCGTGTTGCAGTTGTTTTTAAATATGTTCCGATGATATACATAATACACAGGGAAATTCACTATATATTCTGGCTAAGCAATGCTTTCCTTGGAAAGATGCTGGACTGGACTGCATGTGATTCAAAATTCTTGAAGAAAATTTGCAGAGCTGTCTTTGGGGTTTATGAACTTGTGAGATCCTCTTTCTGTCACTATTCTAATTGTTAGTTTTCTTTTTATTTACTTTCTATTTTTCAATTAGGACTTCTCAGACATTAGTATGCATTCTCAGGGAATTCTTTTCATGGGAGCGGGTGCAACTGTTGGAGATCACAGAAGAACCATGTAGAACTGACGGGTTCAAGGATCGTAAGCTCCTGATTTCTTAAACCAGACAATAGTGTCCTCGAAAAGAAAATGGAAGATGGCAAAGGTTCGTGGCTGAAATTTGAGAAATTGGAAGGCAACGTGCTTTGGGTTCCATTTCAATGTGTCTGCACATGGCAGACTGCTACTGCTTTATCGTTCATGTTGTCATCACTTTACAAAGACACCATATAAGCACTTATTTTTTCTGGTGCATGACTGGATAAGACAGCGTACTTGTAATCGAGCTTTCGTTGCCTGCCAGCTGATAACGATAGAATCATCATTCATTCAGATGTTTTTAGTCTTCGATTGTACAGATGTGTCTCATTAACTCAAAATGTATTCATTGGACAGCATGATTAATGATTATTTAATACATACCTTATGCCTCTGATGAGTTGTCGAGGCCATTCACTTCAGTCTTCTTCTCTGCCTCCGCCTCTTTCACACTGTCTGTTTTTTTTCTTTCCCGATCTTGCTTCTCTCTCACCATGTCAACCATTTCTACCAATCCTCCTGCCGCTGACTGTCTTCCCTTCTGTCTCAAGTCAAGCCATAACTATCAAATCTTGACCTATAACTACAACCTACGGCTTCCTCAGATCGTTCCAGTTTTGAAGAGCCGCAGTTTGTTGGCTTGTGTTGACGAATCTCTTCCCTGCCCACCTGAATATTTCTCAAAGATGACAGGAAATTATGCTCATCTTCACTCCACGCTCCTTTTTCCACCTCTGTCGACGCTGCTTAAATATTTCTTGACATGCAAATCACTTTTGTTTCATTCGATTTTTAGTTGTCTCAGTTATAGCACGTACGGTTTGCATTCTCAACTTACACACCAATACACTCTGAGTGAAGTCAGCATATCGATGGATCTGTGTGGTTTACGAATTCTTTTTAACTTTAGTTCTGTTTCAAACCGTTGTTACGTTTTCGATTCCATATATAAATCGATTAACGGATATAATTGCAGAATTCCTAAGATCCCTAAGAAAAGGATCCGCGCTGGATCCTTTTTCCTAACAAAGTAGATGGAAATGATCTAACGTAAATCTAACGGTGAATAAACATGTGATGTGAGATTCTTACAAGCCTAGCTACCCAGTATCTATTATTTTGGTTTTGAAGAATGTACCGGTGCAATAGTTTTTTTGATTAATTTGATGAATGTACCCATATATATATATATTATAATACATTGAAGAGTATAATTTATCTTTTAATATTTTCATTCTCACAAATCATGAGTTTTATTTACAATCTCATTAATATAAACAACTAAAAATTTCAATTTTTAATTTAAAAATTATAATAACCTACATAGAAATACATTATTATATTAATTTCAGGAACTTCAATTAAAAATTGAAAACCAACAAGGTTTTAGTCAAAGAACATTGATAAATAGGAACCGTATCCAAAGTCTCTCATGAAAAAACAACTAATTAGTGAAATCTAGAGTATATTTAAAATAGTGTGTCTAGTGTTCAGCGATATTTCAATTAACACATTCTGTTAGATACAGGTACTGGCGGATCCACAGTGGGGTCGTCGGGGTCGCACGACCCCTTGGAAACCATGGAAACAGCCTTGAAGCTCCCATATGCGACCTCTTGAAGCTCCCATATGCGACCTCTTAGCATTAGATATTTTGTTTTGTGAAGGCTGATTTCCAAAATCTGAAGACAGTAAATGAAGAAGCTACCGACCTGGAACCTACTGGGAGGCGGCCAGACATATCACTTCAGATACCCCGAAGGCCTGTGGGTTTTGGCAGTAGCCGTAGTGGAAAGGGTTTACTGCAGTCTCAAGGTTCCTTTAAGGGCAGCTCGCTGAAAGAGATGGTTGTGATTAATTGTGTGCAGAAAGAAACTACAACAGTTTCGAGGTCCCTTTCCATGCCTGGACGTAATAAAGTCATTGTAAGATCCGTATATTTTGCAACTCGAAATGAGCAGACTCAAGCAGAACCTAGTGATGGTATGTAGTGAATCAATTATTCTGGTTTTTTGTTCATGCTGCAAATACAACTCACATACTTGTAACAATGAATGAATTTACTCACTATATTTCAACTACTTTTGGCTTATGTATTCCTCTCTCTCTCTCTCTCTCTCTCTCTCTCTCTCTCTCTCTCTCTCCCCCCTCTAACTTTATTTTCGGCAAATCAGATCAAATAACTCCAGTTCCAGTGGAGGCTAATGATGAAGAAATTCCTGAAGAAGAAGCAGTGTGCAGGATATGTCTTGATGTATGTGATGAACAAAATACGCTCAAAATGGAATGTTTTTGCAAAGGTGCTCTTAGACTTCTACATGAAGAGTGCGCCATTAAGTGGTTCAGCACAAAAGGAAACAAGAAATGTGATGTTTGTGGTCAAGAGGTTCAGAATTTACCTGTAACATTGCTTTGGGTGCAGAGCACTGCTCAAAGGGGTAGTGGACAGCAGCACAACCAACAGGGTTTGCATCCAGAAACGATAAGGTGAGATACTGCGGTATTGAGATCCTTTCCATTATGACTTTGATAGAGGGTATTATTTGGAGACTCATGATATCATAACTAGTAAAGGGAAAGAAAAACAGGTAGAAACCTTTTCATGAAGCATCCATTTCGATTCAGTCATGAATGTCCAGTTAGAATTCTCTAACATTAAATGCCAGAAGAGGATCTAAGTAATATCCAAATCATATTTTATTATCTTGTAGAGACAAATTTCAGCCATCATAGCCACATCATTGGCAGGCGACAGTGCTACTGTAGGGTTCTCTTTCTGATCAAGTCACACCTGTGCATTATTTGTAGAATTCAACTTATGATAGATATCATGCTTCCTTTTTTACTCTTTTATGGTTAATGAAGTCATATTTAATGCAGTGCCTGGCAGGACTTTGTGGTAATGTTCTTGATTAGCACAATATGCTATTTCTTCTTCCTTGAGCAGCTACTGGTATGCCATTCTTCTGGTGAAAAAAACTTTAGAACTAAGAATTTGATTTCCGCTAAACTAGAACTTGTTTGTGTCTCCTGATGAGTTCGATATCATAAAAATGAAAATAATCCGATCTAATTGTGTGTAATTAGACCATTGTGTAAGAACGCCTAAATTATGCGGAGATCAATGGGAGATCAATGGTTGAGTGATAGCTTGCTTGTTTATATTGAGAGAGATATTTTTGCTTGTATTGAAAATGAAGCTATAATGCCTCGTTTTCAAAATATGAAACCTCGTCGTGGACAATTATAGTTTGTAATATTGTTTCCATTATGAATTATGAATGAAAATACTATGATTTCATTTTCAATATGTTTTTCCATCCTAAATTTTTATTTGAACTTTTACACTGCGACCCCTTGGGGTAAGATTCCTGGATCCGCCACTGGATACAGGAGTTCTACATTGGAGATGTATAAAACAAAGCAATAAATAATTTATACATATGGGATGTTCACTAATAGTCACTGATTTTTTGGTCTTTCGTGATGAAAACCCATACTTTAAGGTTTAATATGTAGTTAATTGAGGATAATAATATCGGTGATATGAGTCTTGTTGGACTGAAAAAATTAATTACAATATCAAAGTAGGCTATTCTTTTAACATATTTTGGCCCTATTTACTAAACTCCAATTTCCTCCCTTAAGTCCTAGTTGAAGGCCAGTATGGAGTATGGACTCAACTATGCAAGAATTTTGCTGTTGTCATAGAGATCATTTTATTTGTTTTTTACTCTATTGTTTTCTTCTGCTTACGTCTTAATTTGCTGCTAATGAGTACTTGGTTACTGAAGTTAATAGTCAAATTGCTAGTTGTTTTAATGAACATAACATCCCAATATTAACTATGGGATATTTTTTATTTTTTATTTTTTTATAAATAGCGGGAATCAACTAGAATGCTCTTATTGAATTTTTTTTACAGGGAAAGCTCTCTGGCAAGTAATCATGCTAGGTAGCTAACGTTTCTGTTTTAAAACCCTGGCAATATCGCCATCCGGAAGAAAATGGCAAACGGGAATGGTTAACTTTCAAATCTTGAAAGATCTTTGGGTTCCATTCAGATGTATCTGTAGGGCAGATAGCTACTGCTTTCACGGTGATCCCGTCTGATCCTGGTAAATGCACCATATAAGCCCTAATACTTTGAAATGCATGGCAGTAGAAGACAGCATACGGGTAGTTTATGTTTGGGTTAATATTTGAATATTGGACTTAGATGAAGAAAAGTCCAAGTTTGCTGAATTAAAGGAGACTTAACCGAAGCCCAGCACCAAGCCTAAAGGCAAATTGAAGCCTTCTCAGCCAAATATAAGCCACTTGCTTTCCATTGAAGTGACAATTGATGGAGACTAATCTACTATCAGCCAAAGAACACTTTTCAGTGGCATTCTAAGTAAAATGCTGATGACTCACTACCCTTCAGATGCTTTCCTTGGAAATTCACTATATATTCTGGCTAAGCAATGCTTTCCTTGGAAAGATGCTGGACTGGACTGCATGTGATTCAAAATTCTTGAAGAAAATTTGCAGAGCTGTCTTTGGGGTTTATGAACTTGTGAGATCCTCTTTCTGTCACTATTCTAATTGTTAGTTTTCTTTTTATTTACTTTCTATTTTTCAATTAGGACTTCTCAGACATTAGTATGCATTCTCAGGGAATTCTTTTTATGGGAGCGGGTACAACTGTTGGAGATCACAGAAGAACCACCTAGAATAGAAACGCACTGCTAACTGACCATGTAGAACTGACGGGTTCACGGATCGTAAGCTCCTGATTTCTTAAACCAGACAATAGTGTCCTCGAAAAGAAAATGGAAGATGGCAAAGGTTCGTGGCTGAAATTTGAGAAATTGGAAGGCAACGTGCTTTGGGTTCCATTTCAATGTGTCTGCACATGGCATACTGCTACTGCTTTATCGTTCATGTTGTCATCACTTTACAAAGACACCATATAAGCACTTATTTTTTCTGGTGCATGACTGGATAAGACAGCGTACTTGTAATCGAGCTTTCGTTGCCTGCCAGCTGATAACGATAGAATCATCATTCATTCAGATGTTTTTAGTCTTCGATTGTACAGATGTGTCTCATTAACTCAAAATGTATTCATTGGACAGCATGATTATATAATACATACCTTATGCCTCTGATGAGTTGTCGAGGCCATTCACTTCAGTCTTCTTCTCTGCCTCCGCCTCTTTCACACCGTCTGTTTTTTTTCTTTCCCGATCTTGCTTCTCTCTCACCATGTCAACCATTTCTACCAATCCTCCTGCCGCTGACTGTCTTCCCTTCTGTCTCAAGTCAAGCCATAACTATCAAATCTTGACCTATAACTACAACCTACGGCTTCCTCAGATCGTTCCAGTTTTGAAGAGCCGCAGTTTGTTGGCTTGTGTTGACGAATCTCTTCCCTGCCCACCTGAATATTTCTCAAAGATGACAGGAAATTATGCTCATCTTCACTCCACGCTCCTTTTTCACCTCTGTCGACGCTGCTTAAATATTTCTTGACATGCAAATCACTTTTGTTTCATTCGATTTTTAGTTGTCTCAGTTATAGCACGTACGGTTTGCATTCTCAACTTACACACCAATACACTCTGAGTGAAGTCAGCAAATCGATTGATCTGTGTAGTTTACGAATTCTTTTTAACTTTAGTTCTGTTTCAAACCGTTGTTACGTTTTCGATTCCATATATAAATCGATTAATTCTCACTTGAACCTGCATACAGCTAGCCTCATCACCAAAGTGTTGTAAGATTGAGCAGCTATATATTCCTCAATTTTTCGTATACAAGCTAAGCCAGGATCAAATAGCTCAATTGTTGCTATTGTTACATGGGCACAAATGTTGGTACCCTTTGGCCTCATAAGGCACAAATAACTTATTATGCGCAGTGGCCATATTTTTTGTAATGTAGTGAAGAAGCTTTCCGGCTAACAAATTGATTGTCCGTCACAAATCACCCATGCGTATGTAGTCTTTATTGTCATGCAATCAAGAAAACGGTGACTACCAACTCTTGTTTTTCAATACACTACAAAAAATATGACCACTGTGCACAATAAGATATTTGTGCCCTACAAGGCCAAAGGGCACCAATGTGCCTATGTAACAATAGCAATAATGTAGCAACTATAATTGCACATGCAATCTATATAGGCGTGCTATTTGTGCCCTATGAATTTTATAATGTACTAATATTCAATGAGCACTTCTTTCCAAATTGTGTCATTTGCCTATCTGATTTCACATCACACCCTTCTATGGTTGATTAGACAAATGACCATATGGACACAATTTTTTGTTATGTGTCATTAAGTGAAGTACATTTAATAAAGTAAAAAAATTAAACATTTACGAACCAAGCATAAAAAGACAACTAGCAGGAAGATAAGAATCTAAAAAGCAACTGAAAAAATTAAGAATCTAACAGAGGGAAAAGGTCCTTGCCAGATCTTTTTTCTAGGGATGCTATAGATTCAGAAATCGTGTTTGTTTGTGGTACATCATGCGGTCAATTTTTGTTAAATACTATTTATAATTGAATTTTAAATTTTAAATTTTATATGATTTCTGACCGCACGATATATAATGAACAGACATAATTGCAGAATTCCTAAGATCCCTAGGAAAAGGATCCGCGCCGGATCCTTTTTCCTAACAAAGTAGATGGAAATGATCTAACGTAAATCCAGCGGTGAATAAACATGTGATGTGAGATTCTTACAAGCCTAGCTACCCAATGTCTATTATTTTGGTTTTGAAGAATGTACCGGTGCAATAGTTTTTTTGATTAATTTGATGAATGTACCCATGCTTATATATATATATATATATATATTATAATACATTGAAGAGTATAATTTATCTTTTAATATTTTCATTCTCACAAATTATGAGTTTTATTTACAATCTCATTAATATAAACAACTAAAAATTTCAATTTTTAATTTAAAAATTATAATAACCTACATAGAAATACATTATTATATTAATTTCAGGAACTTCAATTAAAAATTGAAAACCAACAAGGTTTTAGTCAAAGAACATTGATAAATAAGAACCGTATCCAAAGTTTCTCATGAAAAAATAACTAATTAGTGAAATCTAGACTATATTTAAAATAGTGTGTCTAGTGTTCAGCGATATTTCAATTAACACCTTCCGTTAGATACAGGAGTTCTACATTGGAGATGTATAAAACAAAGCAATAAATAATTTATACATATGGGATGTTCACTAATAGTCACTGATTTTTTGGTCTTTCGTGATGAAAACCCATACTTTAAGGTTTAATATGTAGTTAATTGAGGATAATAATATCGGTGATATGAGTCTTGTTGGACTGAAAAAATTAATTACAATATCAAAGTAGGCTATTCTTTTAACATATTTTGGCCCTATTTACTAAACTCCAATTTCCTCCCTTAAGTCCTAGTTGAAGGCCAGTAATGAGTATGGACTCAACTATGCAAGAATTTTGCAGTTGTCATAGAGATCATTTTATTTGTTTTTTACTCTATTGTTTTCTTCTGCGTACGTCTTAATTTGCTGCTAATGAGTACTTGGTTACTGAAGTTAATAGTCAAATTGCTAGTTGTTTTAATGAACATAACATCCCAATATTAACTATGGGATATTTTTTATTTTTTATTTTTTTATAAATAGCGGGAATCAACTAGAATGCTCTTATTGAATTTTTTTTACAGGGAAAGCTCTCTGGCAAGTAATCATGCTAGGTAGCTAACGTTTCTGTTTTAAAACCCTGGCAATATCGCCATCCGGAAGAAAATGGCAAACGGGAATGGTTAACTTTCAAATCTTGAAAGATCTTTGGGTTCCATTCAGATGTATCTGTAGGGCAGATAGCTACTGCTTTCACGGTGATCCCGTCTGATCCTGGTAAATGCACCATATAAGCCCTAATACTTTGAAATGCATGGCAGTAGAAGACAGCATACGGGTAGTTTATGTTTGGGTTAATATTTGAATATTGGACTTAGATGAAGAAAAGTCCAAGTTTGCTGAATTAAAGGAGACTTAACCGAAGCCCAGCACCAAGCCTAAAGGCAAATTGAAGCCTTCTCAGCCAAATATAAGCCACTTGCTTTCCATTGAAGTGACAATTGATGGAGACTAATCTACTATCAGCCAAAGAACACTTTTCAGTGGCATTCTAAGTAAAATGCTGATGACTCACTACCCTTCAGATGCTTTCGGGCAAGAGCAAAGCTACAATAGTCGGGCTAATTGGTTTATAAAAGGAAGAAGAGGCCTCAGAGACAATGACACTCAACCAATCAAACAAACAAACATACAAACTCTGCTCTCAAGCCAGATTTGTATAAAAAAACTATAATCAGCTCAGATCTCAGAATTTTTTAGCAACAAGCTATCTCTTGTTTAGATCTCCTTAGAAATGCTATAGTTCTCTAGTTTAAAAGCTCTGCTACCTCCCTCAGTGGAGTAGTATCGATCCCCTCATGTAAACCTGTTTACCATCCATCCCTTTTCCAGCATACAAACCTTTGTAAATTCAAAGAGCAGTGACTGCAAGAGGTTCAACCTTGATAGACAAGGTGAAATCTTGCCCAACTCAGTGGAGTAGTATCGATCCCCTCATGTAAACTTGTTTACCATCCATCCCTTTTCTAGCATACAAACCTCTGTAAACTTAAAGAGAAGTGACTGCAAGAGGTTCAACCTTGATAGACAAGGTGAAAGTGACTGCAAGAGGTTCAACCTTGATAGACAAGGTGAAATCTTTCCCAACTTCCTTGTGTTTGTACTTACATTTGTAGATTTATTACTTAATGCATTCTCCAGTATGTATTCAAGTTATTTCCATCACTTTTCCTACTTCGAGAATGCCATTTGTAGTTAGATCTGGTTAATTTAATGGATATGTCATCGTTAAAACCAATTAAGAACCAAGTAAATGGCTTAAAACACTTTGGACTATCTTCATACGAATATACAAGACTATGAACTAAAAGTCCTTGGTCACAAGGCAAGAAAAAGAACTTAATGTGGACTTAACCCATTAACGGCAATCCTTTGATAACAAGAAGTCCAAATAACTTGGGGCGCAAGTAATCAACTAAAACACACTTGTTCTACATCTGCTATACTAAGATAGCAGTGGCACGCCTAGCACTTAGTTTTGATTGCGAGTCTCAAGGCCTACACCTAAGGCCCTACAAAGGCACTTTTCAGAACTAACTCTGTCATTTTCTTGTAGCACATCGACAAGCAAGAACCCAACTATACATCCAAAGTGCCAATCCCTTGGAGAGCTGTGTTAAGGTGCCGATGACCCTTCCTCACTGGAAATCTTTGCAACCAACATAGTTTTGGCACGCTCGGTGAGACATTCAAAGTCTTGTATGCCAAGAAGAAGAAGGAAGGAGAAAACCTTCAGGTGGAACACAAAATACAGGCCACCCTAGTGTTTACCAAAACCAAGCATGACAAATCACCCAGAGGATTTTTCTTCCTTCTAAGGACCATCTATTCTAGAAAGCTCGAGCTCATCCGAGAAGTCAGGAAGGAAGGTGACCAATGAAGACTTGTAAGCCACTATGATGCAAATACTAAAAACTATGGAGAGTATCACTCTGGAAACCAGAGGTGAAGTAAGCAGACTCTGTTATTTAACGGGGAGTTTGCAAAGAAGATTAGATCTGGAGTTCTCTAATCCAAAGAATAGTTATGCCAGGGAAGTGATGAGAGAGGTTAGTCATGAGAAAGAACCAGTTATTTCCCTATTTCCTGTGCTTGAGGAAATGAGGGATAAAGGAAAAAACAAGGAAAGATCTGGAGCCAGTCAGCTAGTGTTGGAGGAGATCCTAGAAGCGGAGTTGCCCGACCCCCCTATTATTTTCACTAGATAGTAGGGGCAGAGTGAGAAAAAAAGAACGAAGTATGAGATGCCCTAGTTAATCGGAGAATCCAGTAGAAAAGGCGAGCCCACCAAGGCAGACAAGCCTTCTCTTTATAAGCCCTCACCATTGGCCAATAAGGGAGGGGATGCCAAGTGGAGAAAGCCTGAACCAATGAAGGAGACTTTCTCGGGCAATGATCGCATCCCAAAGTGGGAAGCCCCAAATACCCCACATAACAATGCGGCTAACGAGCAGCTCAGAGATGAGCTAGCCGAGTT